GCAGATTTTCTCTTTTATTAAACTAACTCGTTTTGTTTTCGATTGATTGGATTGCACGGATATGAGGCTTGTCGTTACAACGGTTTATTCTATTAATACCGTAATATTAATATTGTTTTGCTATATAAAATTGAGGCTGTAACTACGAATATACATTTATGGTTATCGTTTGCCCCGAGTTAGCCATCGTATGTACATTAATTTTCTTTAACAGGTATTACCTTAAAACAGTAAGGTTAAAATGAAATTGATGATCATGTACGATTATAACAATAAATCCTGTAAAATTTGTATTAACACAGTAATCGTTCTTGCCAGTATATTATTTTCTGTTGCATAATCAATGAATAATACCTTTGCTATTATCTATCGGTGTTTTTACACCGTGGCCAGAACTGGCCAACTCTGACCGTAGCTATTAAAATGATCATAAAAGGAAATTCACTTGTTAAAGCCTTTCGATAGTAAGATATTATATGATCTTCTCGAAGATGCGTGATTTCTTTAATTAGATCCGTATTCCTTCGTGATAATGACTTTACAAGCCTGTTGTAAATTTAATGTACATTGTTAATAAATAATAAAGATTTCTTTTGTATTACTTAAAAACTGACTCGGAATAACAATAAGAGCACATTATTTATAAAACGACGGGTTCTATTACGATAATTATTTGTTATCTCAGATTCTAACAAAAATGCCTTCACATATTGCATTTATCGTTGCTATCACCTCTGTAAAAAATAATCGCCTTTTCTCATATGGTCTTGCTAAATATAAAATTTCGAATGAAATCTCTCAAACCATCAGATGGAAATATTTTTTTCCCACGAATGAGAATCCTCAACTGTTTGCAACTGGTGATCTCGTATTTATTTCGGGCAAATATGTTGTTGAGAATTTAGAACAATGTGTCACCATCACGTACGCGAGTATTATTAATAGTGACAATCCTAATCGTGAGTTTGATGTCAGTGACGTTCCCATATGCATTCCCCACTGTATGTTTTCTGTAACCGCTAATCGTAAACCGAAGGAAATCGAAAATTATATCCATTTCGGTGTAGAAAGCGTCGAATATAACTCCGTTACTAGCACATCTGCTGTTAAAATGCAAATGACCGTTCTTTATTCTTCTCAGACCATTAGATTTCAAAAATATCTAGGCACTTCAGGCTCAAATATTAAATTAGGAAATACATATTTTGTATCCGGGCTTTTTAAGTTCTCAAAGTCTGGTCAAATGATCATTGAAGCGACCGATATCGACTATTTGAAGACCTCGATTTTAAATTATAACATTGCCGAAAATTCTTCCTCAACAAGTTCCAGGCCTCGGTCAATTGTCGATATTGTTGCTGATGATATCGAATCCGTCACTACTCAAGCTCCATTTAAACATTCTGAATCCAGTGCTTCTTCAGTCGATCACAATAATATTGGAGCTTCTAATTCATCAGAAACTTTGGTTGATGCTAATACCGAAATTAACTCTTCTCGCGAAAAAAAGTCACATTATCAACCAGAATACGTTGATTTGGATGCCCAAGATGATAAAAATGATGAACAACCAAATTTTGAAGATGATGATGAGTTGGATGATGATGCTAAGATTGAGGATGATGAACAAGAGGAAAGCTTACAGCCTAAGAAGCGAAAAAGGTGTATTGGAACAATTGTGAAAAGAAAAAAAAAGGGCAACAAAAGAAATTAAATAATTGTAAAATACGAATTCTAAATAATTCGTAAATTTTTACTATATTATTAGCAAGATCAGGTCATAACGACGCTCGAGTTTAAAGTCATTTAATTAGTGTTGTGTGAAGAAGGATTAGATTGATGTATTAGCTTAAATACAATTTATTTTTGATTTCTCATGCAAAAGAAAAAAAAAGGATATTTCGCTTGTTATTATTCAAATAAATATAATAATTATATCAAAACCGATTATTGTGAGATTAAAATTTTTTGCTTCATTTATGGTATAATCAATTTATAAGAATACAATATAAGTACAACACGCGTCGTTCTCAAGGTTACACAACCATGTAGTTTTTTTTAAAAAAAAAAAAGTAAAGTAAGTTAAAATAAACAAAAAATAAATAAATAGAAAACAAAGGATACAATATATTATTTACGATCAATATTATCACTATTTGTTAGTGATACCCCAAGTTATTGAGTTGTTAATTGAACAGATCATAAAAAGAAGTCTGAGGGTGAATGATAATGTAATTTACGTATATCGGTGATGATTACGGTGTGTTGAAAATGTGTAATCAAGGTTATAGTCAAATATTATATGAGTAAATTTAATGACAAATTATGTAATCGATTTAAAGTCAAATGCGTAATATATAAAAGGCATGATAAAATAGGGAGAAAAATTACTTCTGGGCTCTCACTTTGAATAAACCACCAGAAAATATCAATAAAACCCTTACTCTCTTATTGTGATGATCATACACCTC